CCCACCACTGCCAGTGAGTGCAGGGAGAGGGAGCAAACCCCTGTTGCAGGTTTCAGATCTCCATCCGTCCTAGTCTCCTGAGTAGTCTCTATTGGGGAAAAGGTATGGAAAGGGAATGGGGCAGGGGGCAGAGTAGGGGTGGAGAGTTGAGGCCTGGAGTGGAGGGTTTTTTTCAGCCCTTCCTTAGACCAGAGGGAGTAGTTACATGGCTGGGGGTCTCTGAGCTTCCCCTCACCAGTTGTTTCTGTCATGGAGGTCTCAGTTTCCATGACTTTCAGAGACCTCCATGATGTTTTCCTCTTCAGCCACAGTGGAGAGGCCCACAGTTCTCAGCCTATACAGGTGGCAGGGGATGCTGCATCAGAGCTCGGGTGCTCTCCCTCCCCAGCTTGGGCTTCAGTTGTCCCTCCCCTGCAAGCAGGCCTCCCCCCATTATTTTTAGCAAAAGCTGCAAACAGGCAATAGACTTCCATGAATTTGTTAATTGTCCACAACCTGTCCATGACTTACTAAAAATAACAAAAAATCTGAATCTTACTCATGAATGATGGCTAGGTATGCCTAGAGGTGGTAAAAGAGAATATATTTGAAGAGGTTGGGAGGCAAGAGAGAGCTAATTCCTCAGCACTAGAAGTCAATAGATACCTGTGCTGTAAAAGGAGGTGATAAATTACATGTCATGGGGAGTGGGGTGAAGGAGAACAGGAGTTTATGGTTCTCTGATTTGGCTGTGGCAATTCTGTTCTGCCAAATTGCTAGATTGTGGAGCGAGGATTGGAGAAATCAATTGTGTTTGAGGATGACCTGCGGTTTGAAATATTCTTTAAACGACGGCTCATGAATCTGATGTATGACCTGGAAGAAGAAGGTCTGGATTGGGACCTGATGTAAGTGCAGAAGATTAAAATACTATATAGATGTTCTACAAGGCATCCCTGAGCTCTTTATGTTGTACAATACATAAATCCTGCCCCGAAGAGCTTGCAATCCAAAAGAGAGAAGAGTAAAGGGGGACCCTAACCCTGGGAATTCCACAGTGGGAGGGAATATGCCCTTTTGATTATTATTAACTTGCCTAATGTAAGCATTAGGAAGAAATGACTTTGGAAAGAGCATTGACTAAAGAAAGGTTGAAACAGTGATAGCTGGGAATAGAGATCACTGATTTCCCTATTACAACTCTCAGGCTCAGCCTGGGTGCTGCTGAGAATGCTGAGCTGTGCTCTGTTCAGATCATAGGCGCACCCGCTGATTACTACATAAGATTTCCTGTGCCACAAACACAGCATCAGCAAGGATCACATGCCATGTTAACCAGGAAGTGGCTTTATTTTTATGCTGGAAGTGGCTTCCCTGTGCTACAAGGGCATTTGCCACTTCTGCTCTCCACCTGTGGTCACTGATTCCATGCATGAGGAGTTGATAGATATTTTTAAGGCCAGCAGGGACTCTGACGATCATCTAATCTGACTTCCAGCAAAACAGTCAAGGGGAATTCCACCCATCTTTTCCTGCATGAGGCTCTATCTCCTGCTTTAGCTAGAGCATAACTTTTCAAAAGACTCATCCTTGTGCTGCTGTCTATCTTCCCCCAGTTACATTGGAAGGAAACGAATGCAGGTGGAGCATCCAGAGAAGTCTGTGCCTCATGTGCGGAATCTGGTGGAGGCAGATTATTCCTACTGGACTCTAGCCTATGTGATTTCACTACAGGGTGCCCAGAAGCTGCTGGCAGCTGAGCCACTCTCCAAGATGTTGCCTGTGGATGAATTCCTTCCGGTCATGTTTGATAAACACCCTGTGTGAGTCTGCAGTGCATCCTGGGGCCTAGTGCTGGGGGAAGAAGCGTGTATCAACCTATAGGATGGGCAGTGTGTGAAGGGGCTCCTGGAGCACCATATTCTGAATTGAGAAGCCTGTTGAAAACAGAACTTTGAACAAACACACTCTTTGCTGCTGTTTCAGCATTAGTTGTAGATCGCGCTTACCAGAGAAAACCCCCTGTGTTCTGAACTAGGGATGTTAAAATGCATATAATTATAATCATGTAACTGCTGAAATTTTC